GTATCTTCTTTGATTTCTTTCTTCAAAGACACAAAGTTCTTGATATACAAGTCTTTCACTTCCTTGGTTAACATTATCCCCAGATATTTGATGCTGTTTTTGGCTATTGTAAAAGGTGATGTTTCTCTGATTTCTTTCTCAGTCACTTCATCATCTGTATATAATAGGGCCACTGATTTTTTTGAGTTTACATTGTATCCTGCCACATTGCTGAAGGTGTTTATCAGCTCTAGGAGTAACCTTGCGGAGTTTTTTGGGTCACTTATGTAAACTATCGTATCATCTGCAAATAGTGAAAGTTTGACTTCTTCTTTTCCTATTTGTATCCCCTTTATCTCCTTTTGTTGTCTTATTGCTGTAGCTAGAACTTCAAGTACAATATTGAAGAGATATGGAGAGAGTGGACAGCCTTGTCTTGTTCCTGATTTTAGAGGAATTGCTTTGAGTTTCTCTCCATTTAGTTTGATGTTAGGTGTTGGTTTACTGTATATTGCTTTTATTATATTCAGGTACGTTCCTGTTATCCCTGATCTCTCTAGGACCTTTATCATGAAGGGGTGCTGGATTTTGTCAAAGGTTTTTCCAGCATCTAGTGAGATGATCATGTGGTTTTTCTTTCGCAGATTGTTAATATGGTGGATTACATTGATAGATTTTCTAATGTTGAACCATCCCTGCATTCCTGGAATGAAGCCTACTTGATCATGGTGGATGATTTTTCTGATGTGTTCTTGAAAACGGTTTGCAAGTATTTTATTGAGTATTTTTGCATCAATGTTCATGAGGGAAATTGGTCTATAGTTCTCTTTCTTAGTTGTGTCTTTGTGTGGCTTGGGTATCAAGGTAATTGTAGCCTCGTAGAAAGAGTTTGGCAGTGAGCCTCCTGCTTCTATTGTGTGGAATACTTTGACGAGTATTGGAATGAGCTCTTCTTTGAATTTCTGGTAGAATTCTGCACTGAAGCCATCTGGGCATGGGCTTTTTTTGTTTGGGAGACTTTTGATGACTGCTTCTATTTCATTAGGGGTTATAGGTCTGTTTAGATTATTTATCTGTTCTTGATTTAGTTTTGGCAAGTGATATCTATCCAGGAAATTGTCCATTTCCTTTAAATTTTCAAATTTTGTGGAGTACAGATTTTCAAAATATGCCCTGATGATTCTCTTGATTTCCTCAGAGTCCGTTGTTATGTCCCCTTTTTTATCCCTGATTTTGTTAATTAGCATGTTCTCTCTCTGTCTTTTGGTTAGTTTGGACAGAGGTTTGTCTATTTTGTTGATTTTCTCAAAGAACCAACTCTTTGTTTCATTGATTCTTCTCAGTGTTTTCCTGGTTTCTACTTGATTGATTTCAGCCCTCAATTTGATTATTTCCTGGCATCTGCTCCTCCTGGGGGAGTTTGCTTCTTTTTGTTCTAGAACATTCAGCTGTGCTATTAATTCTCTAGTATGACTGTTCTCCAGTTTTTTCATGTGGGCACTTAGTGCTATAAACTTTCCTCTCAGCACTGCTTTCAAAGTGTCCCATAAGTTTGTGTATGTTGTGTCTTCATTCTCATTGAAATCGAGGAAGTCTTTAATTTCTTTTTTTATTTGTTCCTTTACCCAGGGATGGTGCAATTGTGCATTGTTCAATCTCGATGAGTTTGTAGGGTTTCTGCAACTTGTGTTATTGTTGAATTCTAATGTTAATGCATGGTGGTCTGATAAGATGCAGGGGGTTATTCCAATTTTTTTGTATCTGTGGAGATTTGCTATGTTTCCTATTATGTGGTCAATTTTAGAGAAGGTTCCATGTGGTGCCGAGAAGAAGGTATATCCCTTTGTATTTGGGTGGAGTGTTCTATAGATGTCTGTTAAACCCAGTTGGGTCATAACTTCTATTAATTCTTTTGTTTCTTTGTTAAGTTTCTGCCTGGAGGTCCTGTCTAGCGGAGTGTTGAAGTCTCCTACTATTAGTGTGTGAGATTTTATGTGCATTTTGAGCTTTAGTAATGTTTCTTTCACGAATGTAGGTGCCTTTGTATTTGGGGCGTAGATGTTTAAAATCGAGACTTCGTCTTGATGTATTTTTCCTTTGATGAATATGAAGTGCCCTTCTTCATCTCTTTTGATTGATTTGAATTTGAAGTCTAATTTGTTAGATATTAGGATTGCTACGCCCGCTTGTTTCTTGGGGCCGTTTGATTGGAAGATCTTTTCCCAGCCCTTTACTCTGAGATAACGTCTGTCTTTGGTGTTGAGATGTGTTTCTTGTATGCAGCAGAAGGAAGGGTTCTGTCTTCGTATCCATTCTGCTAGTCTGTGTCTTTTTATATGCAAGTTGAGGCCGTTGACATTGAGGGATATTAATGACCATTGATTGGTGATCCTTGTTTGTGCTTGATTTATTGTTAGTGAAGTTATTTTGTGTAGTTTCTCCTCCCTTTTTCTTTTGGTGTTTTGTAAAGTATGATTATATATTGCCTGTGTCTTTGTGAATGTAGTTATCTTCCTTGGCTCTAGGTTTTCCTTCTAGCATTTTCTGTAGAGCTGGATTCATGGATACGTATTGTTTAAATCTGGCTTTGTCATGGAATATTTTGTTTTCTCCATCTATGGTAATTGAGAGCTTTGCTGGATATAGTAGTCTGGGCTGGCATCCTTGTTCCCTTAGCGTTTGTAGGACATCTGACCAGGATCTTCTGGCTTTCATCGTTTCCATTGAGAAGTAAGGTGTAATTCGGATAGGTCTGCCTTTGTATGTTACTTGGCCTTTTTCTTTAGCTGCTCTTAATATTTTCTCTTTACTCTGTAGGTTTGATGTTTTGATTATTATATGGCAAGGTGACTTCTTTTTCTGGTCAAGCCTATTTGGTGTTCTGTAAGATTCTTGTACTTTCATAGGCATATCTTTCTTTAGGTTAGGGAAGTTTTCTTCTATGATTTTGTTGAATATGTTTTCTATACCTTTAAGTTGAAGTTCTTCACCTTCTTCTATACCTATTATTCTCAGGTTTGGCTTCTTCACGGTGTCCCATATATCCTGGATATTTTGTGTTAAGGATTTGTTGGTTTTGAGATTTTCTTTGGTTGAAGACTCTATATCCTCTAATGAGTCTTCAACACCTGAGATTCTCTCTTCTATCTCTTGTATTCTATTGGTGATACTGGCATCTGTAATTCCAGAACGTTTACCGAGCTTTTCTATTTCCAGCATCCCTTCATTCTGTGTTTTCTTTATCGTTTCTATTTCAGCTTTCAATCCTTCAACTGTTTGAGCTGTTTCCTTAATTTTCTTGGTTGTTTTTTCTTGGTGCTCTTTAGATTCTTTGAGAGATTTGCTTATTTCTTGAATTTTTTCCCCCATTTCATTGATGTTTTTTTTGTTTTTTCTTCTATTTCTTTAAGGGATTTCCTCGTTTCTTCTTTGAGGGTCTCCATCATCTTCATGAAATAATTTTTAAGGTCTGTCTCCTCTTCTTCATCTATGTAGTGCTTTTCGGGTCTTGCTGGTGTTGGATCCCTGGATTCTGGTGGGGTCATGTTGGTGTTTCTATTGCTGAGTGATCTCTTATTCTGTCTTCTTCCCATCTCTTCTTCCAGTGGGTGCTGGTGGGGTCTTTCCGTCTCCACTGGTCTCCTTCCTTACTGCAGCTGAAGCTGGGGATGCTGAAGCTGGACTCGCTGGGGTTGGGGTCTTGGAGGGGCTGATCTCTTTCCTGTGTGGGCGGCTCTTCTGGAAGCTGGGAGCGGCCCCAAAGATGGAGGGGGATGGGTGATGGGGGGGGCGGTCCCAGCCGGAGACCCAATCTCACCTGAAGCTGGACTCGCTGGGGTTGGGGCCTTGGAGGGGCTGATCTCTTTCCTGTGTGGACGGCTCTTCTGGAAGCCGGGAGCCTCCCCGAAGATGGAGGGGAATGGGTGATGGGCGGGCGGTCCCCGCTGGAGACCCAATCTCACCTGAAGCTGGGCTCCTTGGGGTTGGGGTCTTGGAGGGGCTGATCGTTACTGAATCTTAAGATGCTGTTCCCTTAACATCATCCACCAACCGTAGCTCCTATAATGCTAAACATAAATATTTGTGAGGCAGTTGGACAGAACAACCATTTGGCAAAATACCTGGGGATGCTGTATGCCAGTCAGAAAGTGCTAGATATTAGTTTCACACTTTCCAGAGTTGTCTCCTTTCTCATTATTATTATTCTCTTTATATCTCACAAGATAACTCTCCTTGAGTTCTTCTCACATTGACTTAATATAATTACACTCTGTCAGTTACATATAGCATTTGTTCATTTAATTTTAACATATATTTGTGTATTTCTCCATTTAGTTTTTCAAATACTTGTTCACATGTGTAGTTCTTTTTTTCTTATTAAAATTTTTAATAAAAGCAGCTTTCTCTGAACAAGTTATAAAAGTAAAGTTGCAAACTTAGAATTTCTGTCCACAAGACAGGAGAGGGAGAAGCAGGTTCACACAGAGGGGACCATGACAAAGTAAAACAAGTTCCAGCACGAGGGGATGGCTCTGCTACTGACAGCCAGGACCCATCTGAGGCTAGACACACCATCTCAGTTTCCAGAGGAGACATGTCTCTGAATCTGAATATGATATGAATAAAAATCATTCATTTTTTAAATGTCGGCTACTAATTAATCCTTCTCTCTTCCCAGCATCATAGTACAAGGCAGAATAATTTTTCAGACAGAGAGTTGATTTTACACATTCCAAAATAAAAATGAATGGATCTGTATGGTAGCAAAGGTATCTGTGAAAGGTGGTGGTTAGTCTTCAGTACCCTGACAGCTTCCTGGGAAGTCAGGGGCAGGCCTTACCATCAGGCCAGCTCACCTCTCCAGAAAAGGAGAGGGAGAAGATGGAGGATGAGAAAGGCGCAGGGCCTCCCAGCACTAGCCGCCTCGCTACAGCCCAGGGTAGCCATGAGGATGGCAGGCCTCGAGGGCTCACAAGTACACCTACCAGATCTCCCAGGGTCAAGAAGGGCTCTGGCTCAACCTAGGACCCCAGGAGCCGCTTGGATTCCTCACTCTGTGCCTGCAGGGTCTCACTGGCATATTTCTGGAGCAGTTCCATTTTCTTCCTCCACACAAGCACCTCCTCGATCTCCTGCTGCGATGGCACCGGAACATGAGCGATGAACTTCTGCTGGCCTGGGCATCCTCCCCTGCCTTCTCTTGGCTGCCTTCCTCACCAGACTCTTCCTCGGTGACAGCATAGATGTTGACCTCCTCTTCCTCCTCCTCTTCCTTTTCTCCCCTTGCCAGTCGAGCCTCTCTCTCTGCTTTCCATTTTCCTACCAGCTCAGCTCTGAGTTTCTTTTCATAGTCTTGTTCCAAAGGCACAGTAACTCCATCATCTTCATCCAGGTAACCGTAATATTCAAAGTCGATCGCCTTCATGAGCTCGGCGCTTGTCTTTCTGGGAGGAGGGAGGGGTTCTTTCTCGAACAGTTCTCTGACACCAGGCAAGTCTTTTGCTGCCCCAAAGTACTTGTAACCACGGTTTCCTGGGACTTCTTTACCCTCATGATCCAGCATCTTAGGGCCAACTTTTCCATCATCAGGACCACCCGGTTCCTTGATCCGGACCTCCCAGTGGCCTTTCTTTCTCAGCAGCTTGTTAATTTCATCGTTCAGGTCTCGAATTCGGAATTTCCCTAAGCCAGCATTCTGAATATGAGCAACTTTTTTTGAGATCTCTCCAATGATCTGTCGCCTCCATTTCTCAGCTTTGGGCAACTCAGTACATTCAGAAGCAAGAAAGGGTCTTCGTTCCTTGACTTTTCCCTCTTCCCGCTGAGCTTGACGAAACCTTGCCAGAGCAGTCATGGCCTTTTCTGCATTTCGGGCCATGGTGCCGGCTAGGGCGCCCGGGCGCTGCGCCCCAGTACAGCATGCCTTGCTGTCCCGGACCAGAAGGGCCAGCGCGGGAAGAGAAAACCCTTAACAGCTGACAGGATGCGCTTTTTGTCGGAAGCCACATGTATAGTTCTTATATTTGGTATATATGCAACACTTCCTTGGTGGATTACCTAATTTATCTCCATATAATATTATTTGCCTCTTAAAATAGTTTTGAATGAAAATATCCTTTGTTCAATATTAGTAAAACTTTTTTTCTGTAATGAGTTTAATGGACTTTTTTCTTGCCTTCCTCTGCTTTCAATCAATGTGTATCTTTAGACCTAAAACGAATCTTTAAAAACAGTGTGTTGTGGGATCTTGTCTTATTCATTTTTATTTTCTTTTTTTCTTATGATTTTAATTTTGTGTCTTGAAAGTCTTGCATGTGAGGTCATTACTGAAAGAGAATGTATATGATCATTATATACATTTCTGCAGAAACCATTTAAGTGTCTGATAGATTTTCTATGCTTCCTCATTTCTTTCTCTACTATCCTGTTTTTGTTTTGTTGCTTTTTTTGTAATGACACTTTAGAATTCTATTCTCAATACTTGTAATTCTATAGCTAATTCTGTTGTGGTAACTATGGGGATGGCATGCAATATTCTAAAATTATAACTATCTAGCTCAGTTTAAATAGTTAGGTTCCATCATATAGCGAACTCTACCTTGCAGTTCACTCTTCACTTCATTTTATTTGTATCACAAATTCTTTTATCATAAAGACACAGCCCTTGAATATATATCAATTCATGATTTTCTTGTGCACTGATACTTTAAATACTGCCAAAGTTCCAAAAAGGAATTACAAAGAGTGCTACTGTGCCTAGATAGGTTGGTAGCAGCATTACTTGTTCAAGGTTAGTAGTTCTACATGGAATTCAGTAAGTAATCAAGAGTAAAGTGAATTGTTTCACAGAAATGGAGATTTAAGACAAAATAGGGGTTCATATAATGTAGCATATATTTTTCAAATATACGTTAGTAGTAAAAACATTAAATGCAGGTATTTAAGGTCTAAATGTGATAAGCAAATGATATAGCCTTTCAATTTAAAAATATGAGAAGTCTTCTTTTGTATTCTTTATCAAGGCAGTCCAAGAGACTCCCAAAATATCAGGAATTATTGCTGTTGCCCTTGGTTGCTCCCTGAGGTGTAAGATAAGCCCTTATGGCTGAAAACACTAGGAACTTCAAACATAGGGCCCAGAAGGAGTTAATATTAACTGAGTAAACAGGAAGTACAAGCAAGTGACTTCTAAATATTGTGAGAAATTACAAAAACAGTTGTCTACCAGGACAGTCACCCAAGGTTGTTCTGTAACATTGCAGTATTCATCTTCAGTGTATAGGTCTAGCATCTCTGACAGAGTTTTTTGTGAAGAAGGATATTCTTAAGGACTATCCTGCCTTGTCTTGGCAAGGTTTGCAGTCAGTCACTGTCTTTTGTGTCCTGTTTGTCTAGTTTGGATAGCATACTGTCATCAGTTGATGTATGGGCACTTCCTTGCCCAGTGACTTATCTTTGTCATAAAGAAAGTAACCTCCATGTGGAGTTTCTTTGATGCCCATCCTCTCTGAAGTAGATTGGTGCTGCCAGGAGCAGACATGTCTCATTGTCCTAAAAATTGCCAATGTTAATAATACATCTTAAATGCCATATTCTGTAGATTTCTGAAGTGTTTGAAGATGACCTGTTTATTTAAAACATACCTCTGTTTGACCTTGTAAACATGTCTACAAATGTGATGAAAACAGGTAACTAAATAAGAACCTTCATTTACTTAATACCCTATATAATTTGTAATAAAATTTTCAAGAACTAGAAATTTTCATTAAATTGTTATATGAGCTGTGTAGATGCAATAGCTTGAATAAGATTAGAAATATATGTATAATATGTTTTAACAAAATTAATCTCTAATTTGTTTCTATATGCAATATTTATATATGATATACAGAATACCAATCCACTGTAAAACATTTAAAACTAGTAGGTGTTTCTTAAGAGTAGATTCAATAACTTACCTTTTTATCATATCTATATCCTCCCTTTTTTCTATGCAGAGTATAGTAATAATGTACCCTTTTATTCTATCTGTATAATTTTTTCAAAATGAAAATTTTGAATCTAATTTTTGTACAACTTTCTTGCTGACCATAGCCAACAACATTCTGTAACCAATTCCCCTAAACAATGACAAATGTCCATAACCTAATGAATGACCAAAAACCTCCCACCCCACATCTTGGGAATGTCGACTTTGTGCTCTTAGATTTTCTTCCTGCTGTTGGAGAGAGACAGCATCTTTAAGAGATCCTGAAAAGAAAAGAAAAATTTGGGTTGATTATCGAGTTCTATCATTTTTGTTCAGTCTCTGCATAATGGTAAAGTGCAGGACTTGCCTCAAGTCGTGGCTAGAGTTGTCTGTGAGGTTGGATCATCTCAACTGGCCATCTCAAAATTGTTCTGAGCAATTTGTAGTTCAAAATTGATCTTTAGTTGTAGTTAATGCTATTGCCACAATCCTGGGGAAATTGTCATTGTGGGGCCCCATCCTCATTTTGGAGATTTCAAAAGTCACATTCAGGTATGGTCATGGTTTAATGAAGAAAACTGATACTCTATCCTGAAATCACAATATGATATTACCACATAAATGGGTCAAGACAAAAATTTAAAAAGATATAAAAGGATTTTAGAAATGAATAAAAATGAGTACACAGCATGCTAGAACTTACGGAACACAATGAAGGAAGTTCTAAGAGGCAGGATCATATCGCTAAGTGTCTACATTAAAAAAAATAGAGTGTATTGCTTTGGAGCTTGTCCTGGAACTCGCTCTGTAGATCAGGCTGGCCTTGAACTCACAGAGATCCACCTGCCTCTGCCTCCTGAGTGCTGCAATTAAAAGCAGGCAAAGGAGGCACCTGAGGAGGCTGATATGGTGCTCACAGCAGGTGGCAGAGCAGCAGTGACCTTCCAGACAAGCAGAGACTCATAGAAGGAGCAGAAGGAGAACCAAGCAGCCTCATTGATGGTGGGGATCTTGATCCATGTGCTTGTGCTGTGTTGGATCCCCTTCTTCCTGACTGAGCTCCCCAGCCCATTCTGTTGCCGTAGCCTGCCAACCATCTGGAAAAGCATATTCCTGTGGTGTGAGTACATAGATTCCTCCTTCAACCCCTTGACTTTCATGATCTTTAGTAAGAGCTACAACAATGCCTCCAAGTGCCTCTTCACTAAGCACAGATAAGAAGGACTGGGGGACATAAGGGAAGAGCACGGGGCTTTGCAATTCCCGTTTCACCACACACTAATGACACTTCAAAAGTCATACCACTGGGCCTCAAATATGGATGAGCTCTCATTAAGGGTGGCAACTGTTTGGCAAACAGGCCCATGCCTTCTACAGAAGGACATGACAGACATTGTTAGTGGATTTTGGTACACGTCTACACTAGGCAGAAACCAGGCCAAACCCTTACATACATCCTGTAATTCATTAGACTTAATCTGTGGCAAAGCTTATTTGCCTTTGTTTCAATACTATGTTCCTCATTGAGGGTCTCTCAGGCTTTCCTGAGACTGTCTTCTTCTCCTCTACCCTTACTCCACTAGAGGAGTCTAGCTTTATTTGCTTCATAGTACCTTCCACAAGGCAATGTTTCTTAGTTTGGGAAACTCATCTGAAGCCTTGTTAAAAAGTGTTCCAAACAGGTGTGTTCGAGGTGAATCAGTTGATAAAGGCATTTGTCGCCAAGCCTGGCAATCTGCTTTTGAGCCTTGAGACCCACACAGTGGAAGGAAACAGAGAAAAGTAACTACTGCAAGCTGTCTCTGGCCTCCACATATGTGCCGTCTGCCCTCTCCCACATGTGCACATAGAATAAATAACACATATAATTCAAAAATTAAAAAATAGAGAGATCTCATATTAATAACTTAAAAGCTCTATAACATGCAAAAGGAATAGTTGGCAAGAAATAATCAAACTCATGGCTGAAATCAATAAAATAGAAAAAAACCACAGTGAATCAGTAAAACAATATGTGGTTCTTTGAGAAAATCAGGGAGATTGACAAATCCATGGTCAAATCAAAGACAGGGGAAGAGGATTCAAATTAATAAAATTAAAGATGAAAAGGAGGGCATAACAATAGACACCAGGTAAATCCAGAGAATCATAAAGACATACTTTAAAATACTTTGGGGGGCATAGTCCTCCAAAGTGAAAAATCTAAAAGGAATGGATGATTATCTTGTCACTTATCAAAATTAAATAAAGATCAGATAAACAATTTAAGCAGATGCATAGCTGTGAATAGAAAAAAGAAGCAGTAAATAAAAGCCTCCAAGCCATAAAAAGTCCCAGAGCCAAATTGTTTTAGCATAGAATACTGCCAGACTTTCAAAGAATAATTAATGCCAATACTCCTTAAACATTCAAGTAAACTGAAACAGAAGGAACACTGTGAAATCTATTTTAGGAGGCCACAGTTACCCTGCTGCCTAAACCATAGAAAGACTCAACAAAGAACGGCAATTACATGTGAAGGCCAAGTGTCCTCATCTGGGGCCTTGATCTACGTTGTCCAGCAGTGTTTTACAGCATCACTTGTGTGCTTAGATATATGTTGAAATGTTATGAATACTTATATTGGTTTATAAATTTGGCATTTGTAAAATGTTGATTATTGTAAAATCCTTCGGAATTCTGTCTTTGCTGCAATGCTAGTATGTCTAGGCTGAATTGATTTAGATGGATAATGAAAAATAATGAATTTTGATTGAATACAGAAAAATTACTTGTAAATATTCCTTGAAAGTGTTTATTTAATTTTTTCATAGCTAGTGGGAAATATTTCACAGCATCTACTCCATAATGCTGATAAAGTTAATAAAAACAGTAATATTGAAACAGCTGGCTGATAAGCTGTGGTACAAAATGATAAAT